GCATCAGGGAGCAAACGCAAGTATAGGATATTAAGTGACTTTAAAATGTATCATTTTACAAAGGAAATACAAGATGCTGAACCAACAAGATGTTGTGACGAGATGCGAGCTTAAACTGGACGCTCATGCAGCTCTCTCTTTATACTGGAACTTCTAGCATCTTTTAAAAAATAATGCAGGATTAATTTACTTACAGGTCCCCCGGATTATTTACGATAAGATGGCGTTCGTGGCCACAGACTGGACCTCTCCACTCGCTCTTGATTCATCTCTGATACCTATGCTTTTACATCTTTTGCCAATGGATTTTTGCTCACCTTCCACAGCCTATGCACCCATTCAGCCTTGTGTATCAGCTCGACCTACTATGTCTCACACCTCCACAGACCAGTCAGATAGGATTTTTAGTCCAAGGATTGACGTCATAGCCGTATACGCTGAAAGAGGAAGGGAAATGATCGCACGAGAAGATAACTATCGAGCGAAGCTAACTGATGAAAGGAAAATCCGCTCAATTCGCTCAAAACTGAGGAACAAAGTGATTTTGCAAAGAAGTTTGGAGGAAGACATTAATGCAGAGAAAAGCTTCGTGGAGAGTTTAAATTCAAGCAAATCTACTTTGGCAGGAAACAGAAAAAAATCGCCTCCTGCAGTTCGACCACTAAATGAGTCAAGTAACTACTCCACCAAAACACTAACCAGGGATTTACGGATGCTGGGAAAGAAGTTAGATGAAATCCAACTGAAACTTGGACAACCTGCTGCTACGTTGGAAAACTCTTCAATAAGCGACTCGCAAAGAACAGAGTTGATACCGGAAGAGGATTCAAGGCAAGAGAGCAGATCTGAGGAAGAGCTGGAACCATTGCCTCTGAACTACGACGAGACAGGTCCAACGCAGAATCCCATGGTCGAAATGGAACGACTTGATCTTAGCCTACTTTCACCATCTATAGACGTGGGGAGAAGAAAGATTCTTGAGAAATCACCGGCAAAACCCACAAAAGGATCACTCTCCCAACCAGAGTGGATGAGGCTCATTCCACTTGAGGGAACTAATTCTAGTAGATTCCCTTTACTTCACTACAGCCCTCCTCAGCATAAAGAAAGGAAGGAATCGAAAACGGAAAGAAGCACACAAACGGGGATTTCCCAACAGCCATTAGCTGAGAAGGGATGTCAGACAAAGGAGGATGAACGCATACCACCAGACAGCGGATTTTTGGATACACTTGAGAGGTCGCCGCGGAAGAAAGTGGAAATAATTCAGCCGATGTCTCGGCAGAACATTGAAGAAATGTTAAGCCAAATGTAAATTTACAGCACTATTTCTGCACAGCTTCATTATGCTCTTTTTTTACAGTGCAGGCTTTAAAGGATA